ACTCATGTGAGCCCAGGTGCTGAGTACTCAATGCACTCCCTAGGTCTAGGTGACTCCTCAATCTCTAGGCTACCACTCCACATGGTTGCACTTTCACCCCCACCCAGCTGTGCCCATGCCCCTGTGTGTCACCCACCACTTCTGACTCCTGCATCAAGGAGCAAAAGGCATCTGGCTCTGGGCTCCACCTCTCTTTCCAGAGACTTACCCTGCTGCACTCAGGAGTCACAGGCTCCACAGGGGTCTCCCCTATGCCCAGGTCCTGGAGCTGGCAATGGCCATGGGGCACCAACACCTTCTCCAGACCACATGGGGGGCCTGGCAGCCTGTGAAGGCCTCTGAGATACTTTATCTCCCTTTTTCCTGTCATGGATGCTCCTTCCTACCTGATTAAATCCAGGAGAACAGCACATGCTAATAAAACTGTACTTTAAATCATCGGGGTAATGCAGGGCCACGTGGGTGCCTGCAAAATGTCCCCTTGGCATTGGGCACTGGCCATGGCCTACTGAACCCAGATGTTCTGGGTGAAATCCCACCAGCCCCTTGGGCCCCAGCTCAGTGCCCACAGCTTCTCTCACCACCGCTCATGACTCTCCCGTGCCAGGACTCCCAGGGTAGTTTCATAGTTGGTAGGGTCAGGAGGGACCTGAGCAGATCATCAAGTCCGACCCCCTGCCATGGGCAGGAAAGGATGCAGGGGTCAAACGACCCTGGCTAGGTGGCTTTCTAGCCTCCTCTTGAAGACCCCCAAGGTAGGAACGAGCACCACTTCCCTTGGATGTTGGTTCCAGGTCCCAGCCACCCTGACTGTGAAGTAGTGCCTCCTGATGTCCAGCCTGAACCTACTCTCAATCAACTTATGGCCGCTATTCCTAGTAACACCTGGTAGTGCTCAGGGGAACAGAGTCTCTCCCGTTCCCCGCTGGTCCTCCTTGGTAAGTTTATAGACGGCCACTAGATCCCCCCTCAGCCTTCTCTTGTGGAGGCTGAACAGGTTCAGGTCCTGTAGCCTCTCCTCGTA